CATCCCTGGGAAGCTGTTTGCTCTTGGCTTTGTGCCATCCATTGTGATCAGCCAGTCCCTGGATATCTGAGAGCAGCAGCGCTGTCCAGGCCAGCCCTGAGTCCTCCCGGAGAAGCCCTCACGCAGATGCTGGCAGTGTTTYTGTGTCCCTGCTGGGACCAGCTCTTGGGGGAAGTGACAGCCTGTGGGGAGAGGCTCCCAGCTCTGCCTTCCATCTGCTCTGCAGAACAGGAGCTGGAAGATCCAACCCCAGAATGGAAAAAATGTTGTGTCCAGAAGAATGGCTCCAGTACACTGCTGGTTTCTGCACAGAAGGAGCTTGTGGGAATGGCCAGCACCAGGATGGGATCTGCATAGCCGGGGCCAAAGAACAAGGAGTGACTTTGTTGTTCCAAGCTGCCAGCTTTGGCCTAGGATGAGCTGCCAGCAGAGAGCAATTGGCTCTTTTAATTGTCTGCTGGGTCCATTTGTGCAAAATGTGGGTGTAGAAAAGCTGTCCCTAAGGAAGAGGGAGAGAGCAGCCTGTCCAGCTGGGAAGGGGAGCAGGGGACTGGGGTCCAGGTGACACAGATGCCAATGCTTTGTTCAGTCCCAGGGGAATCATTTCTGCACAGTGGAAAAGTACAAAGCTGAAAATGCGGATGAGTCACAGGATTAGGGCTTGCATTTCTGAGGCATTTTGCCAAAATCACTGAATTTGTTATGATTGGCTTATAGGGAAGAAAAAATCCAAAGTAGGGTGAGCCTTAGGACTCAGTGGACTGTGGGGAGTGGCAGGAGCTGTTGAGCTTTGGTGTGCCTGTGGCTCATCCTGCCTGAGTTTGGGCAGCACAGCTAGGGCTGGACAAGACTTTTCCTGACCTTTTTTTTTTGAAGTCATTTTGTAATTTACCCTTTGAGGCCGCCATTTATTTGGTACTTCAGATCAAGCTGCTTGTTTACTTCAGTCCTCTGAGCCTGGATGCTCTTGTAGTGATGAAATTAAAACCTAATATAGCCTGAATTGCTGGGAAACAGTATCCCAAACCTGCCTTTGCATTTCTGGGAAGAAAGAATGCATCTGTCAAGCCCGTGCAGGTCCCTAATTAACCAGTTCAGTCATGTCTTAATCATGTCCTGCACGGTGCCCTTTGATGCAAGATTGGGAGCAGGATGTCATCGAGGTGGGTTTACAGAGCTCTGGGAAGCTACAGGAACTGCCCTCCGGGCTGGTTTGGTTTCAGCTGTTTGCATCGCTTTGCTTGCAAAGACATTTCTAGAAAACAGGATTAAAACCAGCAGAAAAATAACTAAAGTTGGGAAAGCAGAGACTGCGTGTTTGCCATCACATGCTCCTGAAAATCAATGGGACTTTGTGTCCRGGGGTTTCTGTTGCACCAGCTGACAGCAGTGAGGGGAGCCAGGGTTGCTCTGATGGATAAATCAGTCACTCTGATCAGGTCCTAAGCGGTAGGTGAGGAATTCCTGCCAGGTCTTAGTGTGGGYAGTGATCAGGATAGCTCTCCACTGGGAGATTCCTCCTGCTGAGTGTTTGACCACTGCTAAGCAAGCCAAGTTCCCAGCAGCCAGAGCCTCTCAGATGCTTATTTMGAAATTGCTCTTGGAACCTGAATTCTTTGTTTCTGTGCTTTTTGTCTTCTAATGCACCCAAAATGACCGTGGCATCCTTTGCTGTGTTCTATGAGCCCTTTTCCTCAGCCATCCTGGGCGGACTGGGCTGGACTCTAGGATCAGTTTTAATGTGCAGCTTTGTTTCAGTGAGCATAGCTGGGAAGACTCTGAGGATGTAGAGTCCCTGTGAGAGCCACGTGTTGGGATGTGAGGTGAAACCTGCTCTCCAGCCACACAAGTAACCCRCTGGACTGTTTCCATCTCCACTGGGAAATTAAACTGTGTCAGCACTCCTGAGGATTTCATCATGGAGTGGTTCGGGTTGGAAGGGATGTTAAAGTAAATCTTGTTCYACTTCCTGCCATGGGSTGGGACACCTTCCACTAGACCAGGTGGCCTCGTCCCAGCTGGCCTTGAACACTTCCAGCTAGTTGTCCCCAGCTAACTCATGGATTTTTGTTGTCCTGATGGGGCTGAGAGCAGGCACCAGCCCATGTTTGAGGAGAGCTCATCCCATTCCATGTGTCACCACCAATCCGTGCTCAGGCTCTTTCAAACAGCAGCTGCCGCTTCCTCCTTTTCCAGTTATTCTGAAGGTTTCTCAGCCTAGGGGCTCTGGGGATACTTTTGCTTGGAAAACTCCCAATTTGCACACTGGTTTTCCAGCTGGGGACTTGGAGCTGAGTGACTGGAGTGACCGAAGTCTTAATTAGCACTGTTAGCGTGCTGCAGATACAAACTCCCTTCTCGGGGGATCTCCTCTTTCGGAAGCGAGGCACGCTGTGGGTTTGGATTGCTTGAGGCCGGGGATGCTCCGTGATTCCTGACGTGCCTTTTCCATGCTGTCCCTGTCCCCTGCAGATACTGCGAGAGCCGGCGGAGGGTTTTGTTGCAGCACGTGCATGAAGGCTACGAGAAGGACCTGTGGGAGTACATCGAGGACTGAGCCCGGCCCCGCAGCAATGAACTCTGAACCCTTTCCCATCCTAGAGTGCTCATGCAATTCCAATAAAACCCACCCAGGGCGCTGCTCCGCCTCTTACACCGCTGGTCTGTAGTACCGGGATTCTGTTTTGTTAACAGAAAACTTAAGTAAATTATATTGTAATAAAAAAAAAGGTAGATAAACCATTGTACAACAGTATTCTAGGCGGCCAAGAGTGTGACAGACGCACTAAAAAACCCTCCAACTTTAACTTGTAACGTAGCTTCATCCTCCAAGCCGACTCCTTTTTCTTTTCTCTCTTTTTTTTCCTGTGTGTAGTACAGATGAAACTTAAACCAGTTTCTTGACACTGCTTTTCATGTCCAAACCAGCCATTTTGATGGACTTTAGTAAGGGGGGGTGGCTCTTCCGCCCCCCCTCCTCCTCTCTGCCACCCAAGTACACGGATGAATGTGGATTGGCCCGTTGTAAAGAGGATTTTTGGGGAGGGAAGGAGGGGGGTACACAGCAAGGAAAAAAAAACCAACCTTTGTATATGACTTTTAAAACAAAAAGAGGACAACACAGTATTTTTCAAAGTTGTATATAGCGCATATGCATGGACAAAGAGCAAGCGTGGCACGTGTTTGCATAATGTTTAATTACAAAAAAATATTTATTCTTTAAAAATCTTCAAGATTATGTCTATTTGCTGTGCATTTTCTTTCAGTTTGATTCTTTTGTTTGGTTTTGGTTTTTTTCCCTGGGCTGGGGTGGGGGAAGTGTGTGCTGGTGTAGTGAATATATCTATATATATTTCATTTTTTTTTTTCTTTTTGGAAGGCTTTTTTCAGAGAAGTTGGGTTTCTCCTCTTCCTGCAGTTCCTTTCTGTCCAGGGCCTCCCCCAGGTCTGTGTGTGTATCCATTGCTGGCGACGGACGCGGCCCCTCGCAGCTCCTGGAGCTCTGGTTCAGGATGCTTTGCTTTTTTTTTCTTGGTTTATTTTCGGCCCCGGATCTTTACCTGCCCAAATCCAGCTCTCTGTTCCCGCCCGTGCACGCAGGACACGTGCTCTGATCCCAGAGGAGGCGTGTGTGTGTTGAGAGGTTTGTTTTGCATCCCGAGGCAGGACAAGGAGGGGTGTTTGGCACCACTTCTCCAAAGACTTCCGGCGAGATTTCGGCTGTGGATCTCCTCTCCCTCCCCCTTCCATCTGTCAAATGGACCCTTCCTTGCTGTTTTAATTTTCACTTCATTATAACGAGTCGTAACATTGAAAAGGAAAGCTATGGAATTGTCTTTGTGTTTGTTTTGGGCTCAGTCACTGGGCGTCCTGTCCTGGCAACTATTTAACACTCCATCTAGTACAGTAGAAGCTGAAATCAGCTGAGTATTTTTCAATTTAAAGGGGAAAGAACTAATGAGTTTAGCTACTGAGTCCATTTTTATGATTTCTGTAACAAGAGCTATGTTAAAGTAAACAATTGGTGGTGGTTTTATTAAATTTACTCCTGTATAGGAACTCCTTCTGTGGTATTTTTCGCCAGGCAAGTGTCCTCCGAGCCTCCTGCTGCTCTGCCAGCTTCCAGGGGAMGGAAGGTGCCAAGGGATCAAATCAAAAAAGGCACATCCCAGGCAGGGCTGTAACACGGGATGCTGTTTGCAGCTGGCAGYGGAGTCACTTGGGCTCCCTCCCTGCACCTACCGACTTTCCAGCAGGGCTGTGCTTTTGTCCCTCCGTGCCTGCTTTTCCCCTTATTTGCCCTGGAAATCCAGCGCGAGGGAGCGCAGCCKCCTTGTCCACGCTTTTCCCGGTGCTGCAGGAGGGGTGGGATGGCGGCCGTGTCCGTGCCTTCTATTCCCGGTGGGAATTCGCTTGAAATCCTGAAACACTTGAAACATTGAAACACACTGAAACACACTGAAACACCGGGCTTTCGCTCCGTGTTCCCCAAAAGGAGTGCGCCGAGGATGTGGGCGCTCCACCCCCGAGGAGCCCCGGTCTGCGGCGTCCTCCTCCCTGCCCACGGCTGCTGGCGAACCTAATGAAAATTAAAGCCCTGTTGTGTAGGAGAACCTGCTGCTGTTCCTCTGCTCCGGGTTTCAGGCGCTCGCAGGTGAATTACCTGGCTGGCTGGACACCATCCCCACAGACACTGTGGGAATATAAAGGAAAATAAACAAACTCGGCCATCCTGCCCTCCCTCCCTGCTGGTGCTGTGGGGCGGTGGGGGGGAGGGGGAGCGGGGCCGCGGCCGCTCAGCGCTTCCCGGGCCGTCCCTCCTCACTGGCGGTCTCATTTCCCTCCACACCAATAAAACCTTCCAAAAGTCAGACATTTTATTATTTCTCTGCTTTTTCGGGTGTTTTTTACGTTAAACGAGGCCGGGGGGGGGCGGGGGAGGAGGTTTCTTCCCGCCGTGCCCCGCGCGCCATGGCCGCGCCGGAAGTGGCGGCGGTCGCCATGGCAACCCCGGGCCGCCGCGGCCATGGCGGAGCCGCAGGACGCCACGGTGAGGGGCGAGAGCCGCCCGCGCTGAGGGGGCCGAGAGGGACCGGAGGGGCGAGGGACGGGACGGGAGGTGAAGGGAGGTGAGGGGCGGCGGCGACAGCGGCAAGTTCTTTCGAAGAGCGAGTTTTTAATCTTTGCACAATTGGTGTGAAAAACGTGAGGGAAATTCAGTCTCTGCTGAAGTAATTAAACTTTACAATCCATTATTAGATGTCAGAAGAGGGGAAGGGTAATGGAGATGGGGAAGTGGCTGCGGCATAAGGAGAAAAGGAAGCTCAGGAAGAGCTCAGAGCCCCTGCCAGTGCCTGAAGGGGCTCCAGGAGAGCTGGAGAGGGAATGGGGACAAGGGATGGAGGGACAGGACACAGGGAATGGCTCCCACTGCCAGAGGGCGGGGATGGATGGGATATTGGGCAGGAATTGTTCCCTGGGAGGGTAGGCAGGCCTTGCACAGGGTGCCCAGAGCAGCTGTGGCTGCCCCTGGATCCCTGGCAGTGCCCAAGGCCAGGCTGGACACTGGGGTTTGGGGCACCCTGGGACAGTGGGAGGTGTCCCTGCCATGGCAGGGAGTGGAATGAGATGAGCTTTAAAATTGCTTCCAACCCAAGCCATTCCATAATTCCACAAGTKTTTTTGTGGTGGAGGAGGGTTTCTGTGAAGCCCTGTGGGGATCAGTACCAGGCCTGGGTTGTTCAATGTACTTAGAAATGATCTGGACAAATGGATGAGGAGAAASTTACACAGGTGAGGAGGAAATAGGAGAAACTCCAGGAAAGTCTTAACAGAGCTGAGTGAAAGGACTTGGAATTGAAATTATGTGTGTGCAGATTGAAAAAATTACAGTATATAAAAAAATGAGGGGTTTGTGCTGGTTATTCCTGCTGAGGATGGAGTACTTGAAGTTGGGTAAGTCTGTGAAAATAGCAGCTCAGTGTTTTGCAACAGGCATCAGAAAAGTCAATCAAATTTTAGAAATGGTTAAGAAATTAAGTAAACAGTAAAAAAAAGAGAGCCTTTTTGGTGTTATTTTTCTTATTTTGTCATCTCTGATCCGCCCCATCTCCAGTTAACGAAGATGCAACTAGAAAATGTTCCCAAAATATTGCAAGGCACAAAGACTGACTGAATCTCTGATTTTAAAAAATATTTATTAATGAGAGGGGAGGTGACACGGGTGTATAAAACCCAGTGTTGTGTCTTCCCAAAAAGCAAAGTTCAAAATAAAAATACTTCTCTGTGTAATCCTATTTCTCTTCTGTGAAGGTTTGATGGTTGATGCAAAGTAAGTAAATAGTATAAAATTAATTTCTTTTCCATGGCCTGAGAGCTCGAGACAGTGTTTGTGATGGGACATCCCTGCRCTCACACCCTGCATACTCAGCTGGTTCCCTGGGAACAGCTTTGCCCTAATTAACTTCATAAATATTTTATAATAAATGTTTTTGACTTGTTTTCCATGTGATCTCTAATTAGCTTCTCAAATGCTCTAGTATTGTTTTTTTTTGCAAGGTAAAGATAACTTCCTAGGATGCTGGTGATCAGCAGTGACCCCACGAACAGGGATGAGCTGCTCTATGAGGGGGTTTATTTAATTGAGCTCTGGAGCAGAAATCTCTGCCTTGCTTGGCAGAGCAGAGTTTGTCCAGCAGCAATGCTGCTATTTTTGTGCCCTCCTTTGGGATTTGCCAGTTGTCCTTTCTGATTATTTTCTGGAATAGAGCTTCAAGAAACCTTGCCTGGTATATTTACTACTCCTGCTTTCTGTCTTTTCAGGTTTCTTCATCGCCGGTGGCTACAGAGCCAACAAAACCCCGTCCTAAAAAAGGTTTGTTTGACGATATTATTGTGTTTCTTGGGCAGGTTGGTTTTAAGGTTTCTTCTATAGTGTGTGCAGCTGTCTAGGAGGAAATAAATGTCCTTTGGGAAAAGAAGAGACTGTCTAGACTGTAATTTGCTGAGTACCAGTATTTTTCCAGGGTCTCTGTGAGTTCTGCTGTTCCTCGCTGACTTAACCATACCCRTAGCCTGCATCATGTTTGCTTATAATCTGTGAGACTGTTTATTTTATTGTGTACTTACTTATAGGGCTGTTAATGAGTTTGATAGTCATTTATCCTCTCAAATAATAACAGAGGTTTGTTTGTTTTGGATTCTTCAGAGCAATGTTTTGTTCTGGAAATAATCTTGGGAAGCAAACACTCTGTCTTGTGGGGTTTTTTTTTATGTCACGTATTCCAATTTTTGAAGTAAAAGTGTTATCAAATCAGGCAGGTTGTGACTGAGTTTAATTATTGCTTCTTTGCTTTTGTTTGCTGTCGTTTTTTAATTTTGAAAATGTGTTAATTCACTCAGTGCAAATTGTCGTTTTGAAGCTTTGRTTGAATCTGAACTGGAACAGGTAAAATTTCTGTTGTTGGTTCAAAATGCTTAACCAAATCCTGCTGTTTTTTTGAGGGACCTGGTAAATCCTTCAGCCTCTCCTTTCCCCTTTCTCTGTTCTTGAGGCAGGACTTGTCCTGACACACACCATGAGCATTTCCTTCTCGGTGGTGCGGATCTGGGCACTGCAGAGTTTTGTGCCTGCCTGAACTGAGCTTTGGGATGGTTTTCAATGGATTCTCCTTTCTCAAGTGTGCAGAGGGCCCCATCAATTCAGATCATAATTAAGAGTATTTCCTCCCAATGCCAACCAGAAGCAGTGCTTATTTTCYCTTGCCTTTGAGTTCAGGGAAGCTCAGCTGGTGAGCACGGTCCTTTGGCTGTTTTCTGCCCTGCTGTGCCTGTCACAATATTCCTTGGGATGGAGGATGCCTTGGGATGATGCTGGCACTTAAAATGGAGTTTGATTGGTGACTGGGCACTATGTTGACATTCTGCCTAAAGATGGGGCTCTTTGTCATGCATGCAGGCCTTGGGAAAAGCTGGAAAAGCTGCTTTGCTTTTGGGGAGCTCAGGCCAGCCTCACATATTCCCAGTTCCTGGTAGGAGAATTCCAGCCCCTGAGCAGAGTTTGGCTCTCCTGGAGATGGGGCTTGAGGTCCCAGCACAGGCCAGGCCTCTTTGGTAGCTTGCCCAGAGCTAAGGAGAAGATGGCTGCTGCTTCAGGCCTGCGTGCAAGTAAAAATAACTCCCAAATTTACTTTTATCTTGACCCTCAACTCTTTCAGAGCAAGGATTGCTCTAAAAGGACTCCAAATTGGTTACTTTGAAGCAATTTGTGTGACTTCCATGGAGGCACTGATGGGCTCCCTGGTGAGATGGTTCATCTCCATCCCTTTCTGTAAAGGTTATGACTCCCATCTCCTCATCCTCCACTACCCCCACCCTGCTCTGCCTGGTTCTGCAAATCCCATTCATTTGTGGCTCTGGATCTCCCTTTTATACCGACACAACCCTTGACTCCAAATAAATGATGAATTTTAAAAAATCCTGCAGCCTGTGACTTTGGTAATTCTCTTTTCTGCCCCTTAAGGTAAATTGAGGCATCTCCAGTGCCTGGCACACCTCGGGTCGTTCTGACTGAAATGCCTTGGAAGCCTTTGGGCTTTGCCATTTAATATTTGACTTCAGTGCAGCGGGGAAAGCTGATTTGAGCTGCCTGATCGTTAATCTCAGGGAAATGAGGGCAGCAAAAAGATTTGTACTTGGAGTGATGTAACAGTGTCCTTTGCGTGTGGGTGGGGGACTGGGGGCATGGAAAAGAGGAGGAGGGAGAAYGAAAGGATGTTGGATTTGTTTTTGTGGAATTTGGCAGGAAAGAGTAGCATCTTTTTTCCCATGACAGTTGGGTTTTTTTAATAGAATATTTGTAGAACATCTTAATTAAATATCTCATCCTATTTTAGTTTGGCTCAGGAGAATTATGAACTTTAGGAGCCAGGCTACATCATCGCTGTTTGAACAGGAGCGCTGCTAAACTTATTTTAAACTGACATTTTAAACACTGAATGGCCACTTTCTGTTGCAGGAATTTGCCTTTTTCTATTTGCATTGTGTTTTCAAGCAGGATAAAGCTGCAGTATCGGTGTTTTCTCAGGCAAGGGAGATCCTGAACCCAACATTAGCACCAACAGTGAAATGCAGAGGCCATAGGAACAGCTGGTGTGGGCAAAATTCGTGCCCAAACAGAACAATAATGAATGATGTGGTTGCACACAGATGTAACGGAGTGTTACCAAGTCATTGCTGGAGCTCTGTTTTAACCATCACAGTGCTGCATTCAGGCTGTGACAGCCTGTCTGTGTTTGCAGTGGGTAGGAGTGAGGTATTAAATGTGTGTTTCTGAGAATGGAATCTCAAATTTGCCAGAAATCATTGGAATAACAAAATGCACATGTGAGGTTTGTAGCTTTAACCAGAAGACCACGTTTTCAGCAATGCAGGTGAGAATACATTCAGGACACTGTTCAACCTGAGCTGAGCAGCTTCCCCTCACTGTTCCTTGCTTTCCTCCTATGATCCTGCCCATGAGCCAAGAAGAAGTGGAAACGTACAACCAGCATTTAGCAACCTGATTTTATGGCTCTCAAAATGATGACTCTGAGTTGGGAGGCAGAATTCGTTCATGAAGTAGCTGATCCGTCATGTGGCCGTTGGGCTGCGAAAGCCTGAAAGTTGGCATTTGGGAGAGCCTGGCTTGCAGGCTGGCCAGCCCTGAGGGAAGAAATTGAGTGTTCAACCAGCTTGAAGGAGKTGTAAAGGCTCTGGAGCAGATGGTGCTGGTGAAATGGGGTTCGAAACCTCCATCCAATGATCTGAATTAATGCATGGGTGGAGGCGACTCCCGCCGAGTGTCTTGTGGCCACACTTGGTGACACTTGTTCCTCAGCAGCTGGCACTGGAGCAGGACAACCATTCATTATTTTGTCCTTTACCCCCTGTAGGCAGAGCTGCTCCGAAAATCAATTCCCTTTGTTGCTCCATCAAGATCCATAACTCTCCCTGTGTCAATCCCCAAGTGACTGAGGAAGGAATAAAGGGAGCCCTGTTCCTTGAAGCGATAAGGAGTTAATGTCAGCCTGCTGAGGTGGGGTTTTAATCTCCCTTCTGCATTCTAAATTAATCAGATATTTTCCTAAATGCTTTACTGGTTCAGAATTGAGATAGGCTGTCTCCCATCTTCCCACTTCCTTTTTCCCACACAGGCAAATCAAGTCATTTTACAGGATCTGATAGTACTGGAGTGGAGAAGTGCTTTTCTCAGCTTGTATTGTTGATTTTTCTGGAGCATAACTTGAATTTATTTCCCTTTATTGTGGAAAATTGTTTAGAAAGTAAGTTCTGAGCTCATGTTTGTTTAATAACAGTTCAGAGGTTAATGGGACAATTTTAAATGCATTTGGATTTCTATATGAATATGAGACCTCAGACTTTCTGAGATGCACTGATGGTGTTTTAATGACAAGGTAGAATCCTAAATATGTACATTGTATCATAAAGTCACTGAAGCAAAACTGATTTCACTTGAATCACTGGGAAGAATTTGTTCTAAAAATCCATTAATCTGTCAAAAACGAGAATTCTGAATTGTCACCAACCACCTCTACACACCCCTTACTGCAGGAAGGGTCAGATAGATAATTTTCTAAATGAAAACCCTGTGGAAGTATTAGCAGGGATCAGGTGTTCTCCCAGGCCTGGGCATTGGGGTATTTTTTGGGTGCTTTGTAGGTGTTTTTTTTCTCGGGTTTAAAGCAAGGAATTAACTGTGACCTTTGGCAAAGTGCTTTGGCTTTTTAAATTTCCATTTATCAACCACAAGCTTGGYCTGATATCCAGTGACAGAGTTTGGATGCTGCAGGCTTTTAGTTAACAAAACATTTAGAGACGTGAAATGCAAAGTATCATATAAATGGATATACTGCAATGCACTGCTTGGCCTGTTGGGTGGGGACTCTGGTTAGGAAGTGCCAGTGACAATAAACAATCTCAAAATGTGGCTCTCAGATAATAAATAACACTCAGAGTATGCAGAAGTAGATAAGTGGCTTTTGATGAGCTGTCCTGTCTCTCTCTGGGTGGCTCTGGCTCGCCCAGATGAACCAGTGGGGATCCCTCCTGCTCCTGCAGATGTTTTAAGGGATTCTGTGAGTATTTAATCTCAAGAGCAGGAACTCTATACCCCGAGGAGTTGATTCCATGCACTTGCAGTGCTGATCATTTCTGAATTTCTGATACATTTTCTTAAATCAATATAAATCCATTCTTTGAGCTGGCTTCAAAGCTTCCTTTGAACTTGTAAGAGTGAAGCTGCCTGAGAAATCCAGATAAAAAGAACCCCCTTGAGTTAAATTAATTAATACTTCTAAGTGTGTCAGAAAGAAAAGGCCTTAGTGGGAATGTCGTGGTTGGGGGGAGCCAATCCAGCCCTTATCTGTCCATACCCATTCGCTTCCATTTGGCCACATGCAAGCTAAGATCTTTTAGTCCATTTGAACCTCCAACCTTGTGGGAAGAAATTGCTTTCTAAATAAGCTAGATTAGTTGGTAATTACATCATTGTTTTATGTAAGAGACTTGGGTATTTCCATCTTCCCGATAAGTGGGGAGCAGCAAGTGCTGTGTGTGATTCTCAGGATCTGATGCAGCTGCTAGTTTAGWGTAGTGAGATTAGAAAATGGATTATCATTACTGGGTAATTAAATTCTATAATATCCTTCACTTCATCCTCTTCTCCCCAAAATAACAGYCCAGTAATCCCTGCACTGCAAAGAACTGGTAATATTTAAGTTGGAATGTGCTAGCACAGCTCTGCCCTCTTGTGTGTGTACATTAATATCTGTGCTGACGGGAGCAGGGAATCCTTTGCAGGCAGCACAGCAGGGA